TTTTAAATATTAAAAGGGGTAGGGAGTTATAAGTGACTTCGCATTTTTTTATTCTTAAGACCAAGAGAAGAAATTAGCAAGGGGGTTGTATTCATGTAGTGATCAGTATTCCATGACAACAACCGGACAAAATAATAAAATAATAATATTTACCACTACCAGCACCACCAACCACCACCACCACCACCACCACCACCCACCACCACCACTACCACCACTACTACTACTACTACTACTACTACTACTACTACTACTACTACTACTACTACTACTAATAATAATAATAATAATAATACTAATAATAATAATAATAAGTTGAGGTACAGTAAGATTTCTGCTAATTCTTATAACAAAAGCAACATAGTATAAAAATACTTGGGCATGAACACAATGATAGTGCACATTCAAAAGTTAAATCACACAGACAGCGTCTATTACATGCACATAATGTTTAAATAAAACTTAATAAAATTATTTACCAAACATCGCCATTTGCATGTTTTCCGGAAATGGTGGAAGAGTCGGGTTGCCATTGACAACATGTGTTGGAGATACCACCATCTTTTCTTCCCTACCTTAAAAAATATACAATACATTATAAAAACATTTCACCAGTTACCACTCCTTAAAAACGCAAAATACTCCTGAATATTCTGCAGGATTATTTATCTGCTGTTAAAAACTTTACCGATGAAAAAAATAAGATAAAGTAGTAGCTAATTTGCAGTTAGAATTACATGATAACCCATCTCATGACCTCATGTAAACGTTGTCACAGATAGAGGCCTTATTCATATTGCCCAAAACGTGCATCGTTGTTTGGCTTCAATGTACGTGTAGTTCGAAATATAAAAGCTCATACTGGACATCACCCTGTATTAATTAGGGTTCAAACTAAGAAGACAACAAGGAAAAAAAAGAAAAACGAATGGCAACACGCGTAAATATTTATCAAGTTTTGTTCTAGAACATCAAAAACGCAACAAGCCCAATTTCTCTATATAACCAGAACCCTAAAAGGCCGTGCCTTACCTGGTAGTGCCTCCTCTGGCCGCGGCATTGTGGTCAGTTTGGAAAGACTTGTTATGTCCATTGTGACACTTTTGCATAAATATTTCCCGTATATATCTATCAAAACAGGTTAGGATGCCTATTACAGAAGGACACTTTCGCCAAATTACTGATAAGAGGAAATAGAACATGATCACATCTTCATTGAATGGTGAACATGCAGTTCATTATCTATAAACAGACAACTCAGTTTACTAAGATATTCATAGTTCGTAAATAAGAACTCTTTCTTTCGTTTAAGTATTTCAGTTGCACGCTTATAACAGAAACTATGCACTTAATTACATGAAACGCAAGTGCATTAAGATGGGCCATACAGCTCAAATAAAAAGTGTAGATTTTTACGGTGGCACAGAGGTGACATGTTTGTGATTTATTTATCTCGTACGCGCTAGATACTATGTCAGATAATTAAGTTATTATGTGGTGCGAACGAGATAATTAAGTTACTGAGTCCTGTGCATGACTTAAAGTATCTCGTGCGCACGACTTAGTATCTCGTGCGCAAGAGATAAATAAACCACACACACACACACACACACACACACACACACACACGCACGCACGCACGCACGCACGCACACACACACACACACATGTTACCTCTGTGTCACCGTAGATTCTGGCATTACCATGTCAAAATATCCAAGCTGACAGAAAAAAAACAACCTTAAACGCATGAGAATAAAGAAACCAGCATGAGAATAAATTAGCGAGGACATAACACCAGCCGATTATTAAAATTCATTTCTGGGCACGGCTGGCCTGGCTTATGTGTAGGCTGACCTGGCTTATGTGTAGACTGGCCTAGCTTATGTGCAAGCTGGCCTGGCTTATGTGTAGGCTGACCTGCTTATGTGTAGGCTGACCTGCTTATGTGCAAGCTGGCCTGGCTTATGTGCAGACTGGCCTGACTTACGTGTAGGATGGCCTGGTTTATGTGCAAGCTGGCATGGCTTATGTGCAGACTGGCCTGACTTACGTGTAGGATGGCCTGGTTTATGTGAATGCTGGCCTCGCTTTTGTGTAGGCTGGCCTGGCTTATGCGTAGGCTGGCTAGCTTATGTGTAAGCTAGCCTGGCTTATGTGCAGGCTGGCCTGGCTTATTTGCAGACTGGCCTGACTTACGTGTAGGATGGCCTGGTTTATGTGCAAGCTGGCATGGCTTATGTGCAGACTGGCCTGGCCTTATACTGATGGCAAAGTTACTGTTATAATTCATGCAAGGTAAGGGATAAGCTACGGCTCATTCTGATGGCCAATATCAAATGGATGGCCGGACAATACAAAATATATTTAACAGTAAATCTTTGGACTTTTGTAAATCATACATCTAGTAATCCATTTCTTAAATCTAGTAATCCACTTTTTAAAATGTGGTAGTTGTGTTGGTAGTTTTCACTCTGAAAAACGGCAGGAAGCCACATTGAATTTTCTAGAGCTCAGTTCAGCAACCGCATTGTTCCTAGGCAAGCTGTCAAGCAATTTATCTGTACTAGTTTCCTTCATTTTCACAAGGAAATGATTAATTTCTTTACATGCCATAGCAGAGGCACAGTGCAAATGAATGACCGAAGAAAGGATTTAATAATCAATCACAAAGAAAGTGACATGCACTGACCAGGAATCGAACCAAGGTCGCTGATTCACAGTCTAACGCTCTACATGTACCTATTGCGCAAACTGGACGGCACTTAATTATGTGGTTTCTGTTATAAGGATTCAAGTTTATTGTTGTTGTTTTTTCTCTGTCAGTATAATGGGCAGGGGGAGTTTATGTCAGCTACTTAAATCTGTGGTTTTTCTGTAAAACATTACTTTCTAAGGAAATAAATTTGACAAATAGTGTAAAAATGAATAAGTTATATAACATTTATTTCCTTTTCATTAACAGTTTCAGGACAGAAATAACAATACATACTCAAGAAATACTAATAAATTCATAGCAAAAGTAAAATCATATACTTATAACAAGCAGAAATAAATACATTTTTATGACTTCCTGATCATCTAACATGCTTATTTTAGTTATCTTTGATTTTGATTGTAGACTTTAATAATTCTAATTACAAATATTAGTACATACAGCATTAATTTTAGCATAATTGTGTAAGAAGCTATAAGTTTATATAGACACACTCTACTAGTATTGCACATGATGCTTACCAAATGGTCACCTTATTGCAATAACTGGTTAACTCTTATTTAATTTAGAAGGACTTAACCCAGTACTCCACTAAGGTGACAATAATTTGCTTTCTGTCATTCAGAACTTATTTAGAACTTGTCATGTACAGAAATACTTAAGTAACTTCAGATACATGATTTTAAATATTTTAAAATACGATTTTGTTTCCTTAGTTCTTAAGTGTTTACATTTATTATCATGTATTACCTATAAAGTCTATTTATTGTTATAACACATAGAACGAAAGTGGTGTTAACACACATCCATGTAAATAATTATGTTAAATTGATTGTATAAACTGAGGTAATAAACAAGAGGTAACACAAAGACAGCATATTCTACTATTCTCAGTGCTTGAAAGTTAAACAAGAACCTAAATAATAATAATACATGACACGCCTTTGAGTCTTGGATATTGACCTAAAATTTAGTAAGTTCACAAAAGGCAATATTTCATTTAAAAACAATGCTAGCGTTCTGGATCTTTGAAAAAAATCTTCAATAATAATTCTGAAAACATGACTTAAGTTTCAAAACAATGCCCTTCTGTAATTTTGAAAACTGATGTTGTATGCAAAACTTTAACCAGGATTTTTTTTAAAGTTTATGGAGAGACATAATTTTGTCAAAATCTATGTCAGAGTTATGGACTTTCACAGTGACCTGATATCAATATCTCAAAGACATGCATAAAGTTACTCTAAAGTCAAGGTGGGTAGGATAGCTCCAATATTCTTCAAAAAAGTCAAGCTAAAAATGATTGATTATATTTGATAATTACTTTCTTCATCAAATAAAACATAACAGGAGAAGACTAATTAAATAAATGTGTTCAGTTTATAAAATTTACTTTCATTGTAGCACCAAGAACTTATAAACGTTTAGCTAATCTAAATAACATATTTGTTGAATGTTTAAAAACAGGACTTTAATAAACCAGGTTTGGAGATAGAGATACTGTGTTTGAACTTTGTGCTGGCTAATAGTCCCTAAATCCCTGGTGTTAAACACAAATTCACATTTCATAATTTATAACTACATTAATGTTATATGAAAAATTATATTTCAGCAAGATCTATGAAAAACACCTTGAAATAATATAAAATAACAAGAGGACAATTATGGCCCCTGATTGCTAACCTGGGATACATTGCTAGAAAAGGTTACAATTCTTCAATGGTGAAGTAATGTCACATTAGATCTGACAATTTTTACCCAAGCTGCATACTTTATAAAACATTTTTAGGTGTTTCCTAGTAAATGTTACATGCTAAATGGTTTTAACACAAGAAAACTTACATAAGTCTAAACAACCCAAGACGATCCCATGGCCGGGGCCAAAATCTTACATCTCAAGAGCATGATTTACATAGAACCACAAGCCATGTACATTTGTAAATGATGCTACATGCTAAAAAATCTAGGCTCTGGGCATGGTATTTTCATATTAAGATTTTTTCAGCCATGCTAACTACAAAAGTCAATGTAAACAAAATAACCCCTAAGGTGGAATCTTTTTTTAACAAATTGGCATGATTTAAGGTAACTTTCGTAGAGGTACACAAAATTATGCTACAAGCTGAATTTCTAAACTCTGGTCATTGCAGTTTTCAACATAAAGACTTTAATGCATTTTCCTATATAAGACCATATACTCTTAAGTAACAACTGATCTAGGAGAAAGATTCTAACCCCAAAGACATGATTTATATAACTATGATATCTGACCAATGGACCAGGGCCACAACATGATCCTGCATGCCAAACATCGAAATTCTGGACATTGCAGTTCCACTCAAGAAGGCGTGAGTTCTTTATATAAGTTAATATAATCTAATTGACAATGCAAGTCTATACAAGCTAAGTTATCAAAGCATGTAACTTTTGTAGAGGACCACATGGGGATGCTATTTGGCAAAAATGTTAATTTAAGGCATTGTAGTTTCTAGTAAGAAGATCTACGGACACAATGACATCACAAACAATCATCTCCGAGTACTGATGAGCTAAACACACATTATAAAATGTAAGACCCAGATATTTAGTCATGTCACCTGAGAGTGATCAAATAAATATGAATCATCTTTAAATAATATTGAAATTGAAAGCACTTTTTGTATATTATTATAATATCACAATTCGCTGTTTGGCTTCTTTTTTCCGTCCTTCTTCCCGAGACCAATTGGACAGCTCACTCCCGTACCTCCTAATCCACAATAACCGTCGGGATTTTTATGTAAATATTGCTGGTGATAATCTTCTGCATAGTAAAACTCAGATGCTGGAATTATTTCTGTCACAATTTTGCCGTAACCTTTTAATATTATCAGTTTTTCATATGCTTCTTTAGAGGCTTCCGCAGCGTCTTGTTGTTCGTCGGAGTAAAAATAAATTCCTGACCGATATTGTGTTCCTTGGTCGTTTCCTTGACGATTCGGTGTTGTGGGGTCATGATTTTCCCAGAATACCTATAACGCACAGTATTACGTTAATATTGATATACATATACATTAAAGTTGTGTTAAGTGTAAAACCGGTGAGTTATCTGTACAGATAAATATAATTTACAATAAAATAATAAATTTACATGAAATATTGAAATCATCCACAAGTGTGAATGTAGGTTAATTTTTATAACACATCTCTGACAAAATGTTTCGCATACTGAACCTTATTTTATCATGTATCATACGATATGTCAGTTGAATTAATTGCCAATTTTTTAAAGTTTTTTAGTTGGTTATGTTAAGTCATTTATTCAAAGCTGAATGCCTAATTACTACGTACTCTAAACAGCTTGATCATGAAAACTTTATGCAGAAAAAGCACATTGGGTACTTTCTTTGACCAATAGAAAATAATTTTCTCTAATTCACACGATTTTCACTGTATAATCTATTCAATGTTCTATGTTAACACAATCCAAATCTTTACAACTGAGCATAAAATACACATTTTAAACATCCTACTGTAGCAAACTCTATACTCTACCTTTAGAATTTCATCATATGAAACATTTTTTGGATCAAACACGACTCTGACCACCTCATTATGTCCGGTATTCCCTGTACACACCTCCCTGTATGTAGGATTCTTAGTATAACCGGCTGAATATCCAACCTGACAGTAGACAAAAAAGCTAACTCAAAACCATCTTAATTAGATAGCAGCTAATTTTATTTACTGTCAATGACTTCATAGCACTTCCCCCATTGGGTGTCATATCATTAATTCAAGAAATCATTTCACATTAAATATTGCTCTTTTTTTTCAGTAAAAGCCCTCTTCACAAATATGGATAATTAAATAAGTTTAAAGCTGCATGCCTCCATATGAGCCAAAATATTTCATGAAAATCAAACTTGAGAAAAATGTACTTAGATTTCAAGTAAGTAAAAAAAGATTCATGATTCAAATAATAAAATAATTGATTTTTGAAATACTCATAACCATATTTCCACTGTGTTACTAACGTTGTACCCCCCCCCCCCCATATATTGACCTCTTTTTGGTAATTAACATAAATTGTATGTGTCCTTTGCAAGGTGTAAAATTACATTTAATTTACTTAAATTAACAATGTTTTACATTAAAATAAATTTTCCAAAATTTCAAGAAAATTAGCATGAATCTGGAGGGCATGCTGCTTTAACAGTAACTATCTTTTTAATTCTTAATCTATTTTATTCATAAAGTATTATCAATAGGAAACTAAATAAATCATGTTTTTATAATTCTGACATGCAAATATTATCAAAAACCCTGATACAACTTAAAGCACTTAATAGTATGAAAATTACAAAATTAAGTCAGGTATGTTTTGTTTAAAGAAACTCAACTGAGGTTCTGTGAAAGATATCAAATTCAATTCCAGAAAGGTAGCAAGTTTTATAAATGTATGGTTTTTTTCTACAATAAATAAATTTGACATGCATAAACCTTAATACATGTACAATATACATGTACATCCTTATGGATAAATTGTAATCATTAACATTATGATATTTATCAACTAAGTCAGTTATAGGTGATAATAGAATTAAATAAACTTTTTAAGAATCCCCAAAATCTGTAATTTTATAAGAACAAATTCAGCTTCATATACTTTTCATCATGTCTTAATGTTTTATTGTTTCTACTTGTTCGAGTAATTCCAAACTTCTGAATTCAGGAAACTTCCACTATCCAAACTTTTTAGCAAATCCCACAGGTGTTCGGCTTTCAGAAGTTACACTGTATATTAGATCATTATCATAGAACAGTTCCTGATTGGTTGATTCAAATTTCAAAATATATTCCTTACCTGTGTAGAATAAACCCCTGCCTGCTTCCAGAACTTTCTCTCCGCTCCCCAGAAACAACCCATCCCTGAAACAAAGTAACAGTAAAAATATATAAATACTTTCAAAAACAAAATTACCTTCTATAATATCATCTGATTTGGTCCAAAAAGTTTCATCACTTTTCTTTTATTTTCATGTCATAAGAAGAATATCTTGTCACTTGCATATTTTAATTTTCTGAAGTTTCACCTTGTCATTTTGAAAATCTGGACATCTTGTATTGTACTTAGAAAAGCTTTATGAAATTCCAATATAAAGAACTTTTCTACAACTGTTTATAGCACTATGGCCTCTATAAACTGTCAAGGTCATTATTTAATACATGTATGTAAATACCTTGAAAGTTAAACAAGGCAATTAAATAAAGCAAAAAAACAACTAATAAGCAGGAGGAAATTGTGTGTTCAAAAAGTTACTTAAAGTACAAAAAACAACAGTTACAAGAAGTGCAATTAACAATATCATTTGATTAACACAAAATGTTTTTAAAAAATGTACCAAACATAGCCATTTGCATCTGATCTGGAAATGGTGGCACTGTGGGGTTTCCATTGACAGCATGTTTTGGTGAGACTTTTATTCTCTCATCACGTCCTGAAAAAAATAAAACATTTACATTAAATTTGTTAATAAATAAATTAATTTATAAAAGACATATCATTAACTTGTGAATAAATATATATAATTACATGAATTTAATGCCACACTTGTAACTCAACATAATTAGTTCAGTAATTTAACAGCACATGACGTATTTTGTGTCATAAATCTAAACATTCAAATTTTGAGTAACATGTGATAAAGTAACAATGTTGTGAAAGACTCAAAGGGCTTTTAGTGCTATCTTTGTTAAAGATCCTGTAACACAATTTTTTTTTATGTTTTTTTTTTATTCAATAAATATATGCTCAAATGAAGATATACAAATATTGTAAGGTCCAAAAAGCATTATTTGTAAAGATATTACCGAATTAACATTTTATGTGAATAAAAGGAGGTATTTAGAAATTTATTTTCTATAAAGTCTATTTTTTTTCAATAAGAGATGAAAAGCATATATTTTAATGATTACATATAATGTGGAAAAATATTTGCAGTACATATTTTTACATATTCTTCAATGTTTGAAAAATTGTTTGAGAAGAATAAGTATATAATATACATAAATAAAATTTTACTTAAGAGTGGCAACAACCTTAATTACAACATACAGGATCTTTAAAGAACACAGGCAAGTTATTTATAATAAATGAAACATTTCCTGAATGTATCAAATGAAATTAAAGAAAAGAAAATTATATTTATCAGGGTAAGAATTTCATACCTGGGCAAGGCATCTTGTGGTGTAGGCATAGTTGAAGGTCTATCACCCATAAAGCCCATAAAAAACAGACCTGCTGCAGGCTGAATGTCTCAACACAGACTGAATTACAAACAACAGGTTAGGTAGTCTTGACAAAATTGTCCTGAAAAAAGAAAAAACAACAGGAATGGATTTGTAAAAATGCCATGTCCACAGCATTGTATAGAAAGTGGGAAACAAAAGTAGTTTATCATTTGTTTGTACATTTTGTAGTAAATTCTTGAATTTCAATTCACAATTTGCTTGCATGTTGAAATCATATTAACATTACATAACAGTTCAAAATAAAAGAGCATGTATGTGAAACTTTTGCCTGAAAGAACATTTGTAAACTCAGAAAAAATATACCACTAAAATAAGACAAATGAATGGTAAAAAACCAGTAAAACAATGATTTATAACCTGTGTTGATAAACCATAGACCCAGTAAATATTACTGTACCTCATTCTGAGACAGATGAATATTTCCTATAGTCAGGTTGACAAAATATAAACAACTCAGTGAACTATTAACAACCTTTTATCTGATTACAAATATAGGCCACTAGCCAGTGATTTCAGGCTACTACATTTTATTACACAATTATATCAGGTTTGACCCAATTAGAACTTCTGAAGACACTTACATAAGAATACTACAGTTGTGAAGCATTTAAAAACACAAGCAACTGTTTGTTTCATAGGGACTATATTTTATATTGAATGAGTGAGAAATGGGTGTGAAAGAACAAGATTGATTCAAGTGTGATGGTACAATGAATGTTAAGTAAATGGAATAATGTGAAAATTTAATGTGAATGTGTGGGGCATGCAGATGAAGATCATTAGATGGTGGAGTGTTAACTAAGTTGAGCAAGTTCTTAGGTGTGTTAGTGGGTGGGGGTTATTGAGTCTAATGATTGGTAAGTGAAGATGGGAATTTGATTGCTTGTTGATACGTTTAATGCGTTTATGAGTGGGGATGGTGAGTTTTGATCATTTGTGAGTGGGATGGAGAGTTTGATCATTTGTGAGTGGGATGATGAGTTTGATCATTTGTGAGTGGGATGGTGAGTTTGATCATTTGTGAGTGGGATGGTGAGTTTGATCATTTGTGAGTGGGATGGTGAGTTTGATCATTTGTGAGTGGGAAGGTGAGTTTGATCATTTGTAAGTGGGATGGTGAGTTTGATCATTTGTGAGTGGGATGACGAGTTTTATGATTGGTGAGTGGAATATTGAGTTTAATGGTTTATGAGTGGGATCTTGAGTTTGATCATTTGTGACTGAGTGGGATGGTGAGTTTGATGATTTGTGAGTGGGATGGTGAGTTTGCTGGTTTGTTTAGAGTGAATCTGAATTTGTGTTTGTGAGTGGGATGGTGAGTTTGATGATTTGTGAGTGGGATGGTGAGTTTGATGATTGGGGAGTGGAATGTTGAGTTTAATGGTTTATGAGTGGGATGTTGAGTTTGATCATTTGTGACTGAGTGGGATGGTGAGTTTGATGATTTGTGAGTGGGATGGTGAGTTTGCTGGTTTGTTTAGAGTGAATCTGAATTTGTGTTTGTGAGTGGGTTGATGAGTTAGGTGTTTGTGAGTGGATTGATGAATTTAGGTGATTTGTGAGGGGGATGGTGGGTTAAATGATTTGTGAGTGGATTGATGAGTTAGGTGATTTGTTAGTGGGACGGTGAGTTTAGGTAACTTGTGAGTGGGATGGTAAGTTAAATGATTTGTGAATGGGATGATGATATTAGGTAATTTGTGAGGGGGATGGTGAGTTAAATGATTTGTGAGTGGATTGATAGTTAGGTGATTTGTCAATGGGATGATGAGTTTAGGTGATTTGTGAGTGGGATGGTGAGTTAAATGATTTGTGAATGGGATGGTGACTTAAATGATTTGTGAATGGGACCATTAGTTAAATGATTTGTGAGTGGATTGATGAGTTAGGTGATTTGTGAGTGGGATGGTGAGTTAAATGATTTGTGAATGGGATAGTGAATTAAATGATTTGTGAGTGGATTGATGAATTTAGGTTATTTGTAAGTGGGATGGTGAGTTAAATGATTTGTGAATGGGTTGATGAGTTAAATGATTTGTGAATGGGTTGATGAGTTAAATGATTTGTGAGTGGGATGGTGAGTTAGGTAATTTGTGAGTGGGATGGTGAGTTAGATGATTTGTTAATGGGTTGATGAGTTAAATGATTTGTGAGTGGGATGGTGAGTTAAAGGATTTGTGAGTGGGATGGTCAATTAAATGATTTGTGAGTGGTTGATTAGGTAATTTGTGAGTGGGTTGATGAGTTAAGTACCGAGTAAAACGATGGTGACTGATAATAAAAGCCCTGGCGCAACATAAAACAAATGCTCACAGAAATCAAGAGAAAATTCTAAATAATACCTACATATATCTATCCTTAATTATCCTTGATGAATACAGTATGACAAGTAACTTCACTTACATCACAGAGCTATCTATACATGAAAATTCTACTTACATAACTAAAATCTGGAACAAGAGTACTTCATTCAGTAGACGCTTAATTTGCTGCTTACAGCGCTTGTTTGACAAAGAGCACATTTAGGTCAACCAATACTAAATGTATAGTGGTCAAACACGACTATATTTCATCTTCTTTTTAATAATGGCTACGTTCATCATACATGTATGATGACACGCTATAGTCGTATAAAAACAAGTATTAGCATTTCCAAAAATGCTTGGAATCGCCGTTCAGCCATGAATATAGAAATGATATTTCATTTCATGCCAAATAACTTTATTGTGTGTGGTCAACACGTAGCCTAATTAATTTGGCGTGAACGGTTTGACCCATTTTACAGACTTTTTTTTTTTACTGTCAAACGGAAAAAAGACAGCGCCCGTCCAAAATTATCTCGGTGTCTCTTTGACAAGTCTAATTAGTTGGACTATCGGCAAATATAATAAGCTTCTTGCGTAATTAACAACAGTTATACTTAATTGCAACACATTAAAATAATGTCTGTGAACATTCTATAAATGGAATTTATTTTCTATACTGCGTCGACTGCTTTGCGATGTTTTTCTGAAACGGACTATTACTGGCCTGCTACATAGATAGGCATGATGTTTTTTATATAAAGGAGAAAAAAAAAGTATATATTAATAACATAACAAGAATTTCATAATCGGGAACTTCGTTCACAGGTGTTCCTTAAATAATTCGTTCACTGGTATTCAATAATAATTAATTTTGAAAAAAATGGTATTTCTTATGTTTAATGTCACTTTATATTGTCTTATATATCCTTTTAATTTTTATGTTGTAAACATGCTTTGGAGACTGTAAAAATATTATTTCAACAGAAATTGGCACAAAAACACAATATACTTCGAAATTTTAGAAATGAAAACAATGCTGTAGGAAGGCTTACAGGCAGAGATGATAGTCATTCTGTGTAAAGGCTGACATGGGATCATGAATTTTGTACATATTTATTTAGTAGCATGTTGTTTAACATGTTATATAACATGATATACTCTGCCAGTCTAGTTTATCACTTGTTTTACAATGGAATTATTACATGTAATTTACTCTTTAGATAAAAACATCCCCAAACCAAAATAATTCGTTTTCAATATTACAAGTTTACTTTTAATTTTGTAAGACGAAGCTAGCGGATTATATGAGGCTGGCCCTTATAAGGCCCTTAAGTATGCCTATAGACCAAGTTAAAGAAAGCCCTGTCCTAAATGAGCCAACTTCACCAAAAGTAGGGCAAACTAATTAAGGCATTACAAACAAATAAATACATTCTTTTTTCATCGCAACCCCATATGAGACATATTCTTAAGAGTATGGCCACATACATAAAAAATACAGTCCTATGAATCAATCTCAATTTATCTGTGAAGAATGATATAGAAAGGAGTCTAGCCCCCTTTAGACTAAAGCTACCCTCAATGAAAAGGCAAATCAAAATAAAATGATCTGTTCTATAACATTTGATGAATCTTACTATGTATTATAATGTAAGTTATATTTCACAGGTTTGAGATATTCTCATCATCAAATTTTGAAAAGGAAACCGCTTTTTTTGGCTAAAATTTCATTCTGATTTCCGAAGAAAAAAATGGATAGAATGCTGTTGGCCATGCAAAAGGAATACATGTGTTCAGTTACCAGTCCGAGTTGCAAAACCTGATCAGTCAGTCAAGCTCGTCCGAAAAATAAGATAATTTTATTTTGGCAACAACACCATATTTTTCTCCAAGATGCATATGACACAGACACTTGTGGTGTGGAGCTTAAAACGCCTTTAAAATACAAATAAAATGTACATTTGTCAATCCCAGCACATGTACTGATCATTATATATATATATATATATATATATATATATATATATATATATATATATATATATATATATATATATATATATATATAATATATATATATATATATATATATATATATATATATATATATATATATATATATATATATATATAAACTTAATATAAGCCGTTTTGAAAAAAAAATCATATTTCAACGTCTATAATAGTAGTGTAATATTATAGACGTTGAAATATGATTTTTTTTTTCAGAAAAGATTGTAATTTTGACCATAAATTTTATATAATAGTACATTCTCAAAAAAGGGGATAAAGCGTTTCTAAATTGCTACCACAAAAATCAGATAAATTTAAATAACCAAGTTTATATTTAAATAGCATTGTATTAGTTGGAATAAGTCTATGAAGAAATTTGTATGGAAAATTTCTCAATGACACATCTGTAGTACTTTTAAATGGAACCATATGTATTTTATGCTAATCCAGCTCAGTTTCTATTTCTTTTTCCTATTTCTCTTCACTTGTATTTTCAGCATGAATTAATTTTTGTGAATTGACTCAACGACAAACGGAGAATTAGCTATTGTTTTGTTTATTATTTACGTGTTACATATATGTACTATATCAAACTGAAGCCGTTTGGTAGATGTATGTTATTACTAGACTTAACTTGTTTACAAAAGTGAACATGTTCTTCTTTTAGTTAAATTTCAACACAGGTTTTACAATATTAAAGGCACGTGAGACCCATCTTGTCTATTCCTTCTGATCTGGTGCCAGTGGTGATAAATAATATATCATGTGGTTGTATCACCTGATAATCTCTCAATTTGTTTAGATGAACATATCAGATGAATCCTTTGAAATTTTCTGAGTTTGAACAAGAATATTCCATTGAGACATCAACTTCTGTTGCATATATTGCCATTGTCTAATTATCGGCTTGAATGTGCAGTATTTAGATATTGGACGTTCTTCATTTGTGAAATAAACAAAATAAAACTTTCATCAATGTATTTAAAGGAACTCCACTGAGGTTTAGTTTCTTACTGGGGCCTGAAAA